ATAATATAAATTACTGATAAATTATAGCATCTGACCAATGAGAATTTCGCGTCACGATTTGAGACGCAGATATTCAAATTCATTAGTCATCGATGCAGGCTCTCAATTCAGCTTGAGAGCCTGTTCGCAGGCTAAGGTACTTAGTGAGATTCGAACCTGCAGCCTCAGAGGTGAAAGGCAAGTGCGCTAACCACTTGGCCACCGAAGCCCCTATAAAAAAAAAATTCAAATTCGTTTGAGCGCATTCCGGGACCGAACTCACGACCTTCAGCATACACGCTGAGTCTTGTCCCTCTGCGCCACCACGTCTTACACGATGATTCTAGCTATGGACTAAATTTTGATCTAAACAAGTCTAGACAAAAATTTCATCACAGCTTGAAAGAGCATCACAAAATTAGTAATATTCCAAAGTTTCGTTGCGAAATGTTGTAAAATGCGGAAAATATAGCCTTGCGAAGTTTGCCGTTTTTCAGTCATTTTAGATTACGAACGGGAAATTGACAGCCCCATATCCTTTGGGGCTGTCAATTTCCCGTTTGTAATCTAAAATGACTGAAAATTGCAAATTTCGCAAGGCTATAGCAACGAAACTTTGGAATATTACTAATTTTGCGATGCTCTTTCAAGCTGTGATGAAATTTTTGTCTAGACTTGGTTAGATCAAAATTTAGTCTATTACGCAAATGGTCAATTAAAGGGAAATGGCAATATATTTTTTTACTTTCTCATTTGAAAGAACTTTTAAGACTGTATATAATACTCTTTTACCGCTTTTTCATATCTTGCTTACTTCTACAAATATTTTAATCGAAAGGAATGAAATGTCCGACATCTTCAATTTTTGTAGATATGCATGTCACATCACAACAGGGTTCACGCGATATTTTTATCTAGACAACCACTAATCATTTTGCACTCAAAACTATACTCTGTCTGCCCTTCGAAATATCAAGATCACTCAAAACCTTCAAAACGTCTACCAATCAATATTTGGTCAGCAACGAATACTTTCACAGTAGGTTAATCCCTGTTGTGACGTCACCAAAACCACCGTTAATGAGATCAAAAATGTATCCAAGATGGCTGACATCTCATTACTTCAAGTGAAAATATTTCAAGAACTAAGCAAGATATGAAAAATCGGTAAAAGAAGTTAATGTATAGTTTCAAAAGTTCTTTCAAATGAGAAAATAAAAATTTATATTACCATTCCCTTTAACATTTTAAGTGATTTCATTTCTTCTTTTGATTAATTTCATTTCTGAGGCAGTCGTTGTTAATATTTTATATATTTTCTTCGAATTTAGAGGCATTATTTGGCGTGGCTCCGTTCAGGTCTCGCACATTTTCTGAACTTGAGCAAAAGATCCGATCATCTCAAGAAATCCGAGTATGTTTCCTCGTTTCAATCGTATCGAAACGTACTGTAGCATATTCTTTTGTGTCGATGTCACCAGCTCTTGAATGAAATAGACACGCAAAAATGCACAATTTGTAACAAACCTGCAGCAGATGTGGCAATGTTGTTCCAACACGATGTGTTCGCACTGCTTGTTCTCAGCTTGTTGACAAGTTTTCAACGGCTTGTTGACATCTTGTTACAAGGTTGTTGAACTGAACCGTCTTGTTACAAGTTGTTGCAACAACTTGTTATCGTCTTGCAATTTAACAATTTATCAACAAGTTCTGAATGACAACCTTGTAGCAACTTGATAAAATAGCAGCGTTATTACAATTTGTTGACAAACTTACTACAAACAGATTTCTGATTTTCCCATCAGACTGCAGGATCCCTAAATTTTCTGTGAGAATATCTGACATTTCTGCGAATTTTTTCCAAGGAAATATATTTCCTGCGCAAAATAAAATTTTTCAGTATGGAACATTCTTTGAATCGTTTTTAAACTTTTAATGTTTTATCCTTTAGCTTCCAACAGACTCTAAAGTCTCCAAAGAATGCAAATATCTACTTCTTTCGCTCTTACAAAGAGATCCAAAACAGAGGATGTCATTTGAAGAGTTTTTTGCCCATCCATTTCTGGACTTGGAGCATGCGCCGTCTGATTTGTGTTTAGCGCAAGCGGTAGGTCTTTGCTGCACAAATAAAGGATGACCTCTAGGAAGAACAGTTTAGAACTGATAGAGCTATCCAGTATAAATAAAGTTAGTTTAGTTTAGGTTTCCTCTTGTAGCAACGCAGGATCAATAAGAGATGACCCTTACTGGACCTCTAGAAAGAACAGTTTAGAATTGATAGAGCTATTCAGTACCGGTACAAATAAACTTAATAAAGTTAGTTTAGTGTTGGTTTCCTTCTGTAGTAACACTGGATCAATAAGAGAGGATTTTTACCTCTACTCTAGGAAGAACAGTTCAGAACTGATAGAGCCATCCAGTACAAATAAAGTTAGTTTAGTTTAGGTTTCTTCCTGTAGTAACGCTGGATCAATAAGAGATGATCCTTACTGGACCTCTAGGAGGAACAGTTTAGAACTGATAGAGCTATACAGTACAAATAAAGTTAGTTTAGTTTAGGTTTCCTCTTGTAGTAACGCTGGATCAATAAGAGATAACCCTTACTGGACCTCTAGAAAGAACAGTTTAGAATTGATAGAGCTATTCAGTACCGGTACAAATAAACTTATTAAAGTTAGTTTAGTGTTGGTTTCCTCCTGTAGTAACACTGGATCAATAAGAGAGGATTTTTACCTCTACTCTAGGAAGAACAGTTTAGAACTGATAGAGCTGTCTAGTATAAATAAAGTTAGTTTAGTTTAGGTTTCCTCCTGTAGTAACACTGGATCAATAAGAGATTATCTTTACTGGACTCTATAGAGAGAACAGTTAGTACTTTTGAATCAATAGAGAGGTAGCAATTATGACTGAAGGTCGTGTTTTTCATCAGGTGTCATTGGTATCAGAAGCTGTGAAACTCGACCAAGCATTGAACTATAAAGAAGCTGTACAGATGTATTGTCGAGCGTTAGACTATTTTGTCCCGGCTTTGCAATGTGAGTATTAGACATGGTCTTTTGAAACTTATTAAGACAGACTTTCGCTCAACTTATTAACTCACAGAATGATGATTCTTTTTTCAGATGAGCGAAATACTGCGAAGAAAAATGCCATCAGAGAAAAAGTAATGTTTTTATTAAATCTTCCAATCGCAACTCAGAACAGAACAGAACAGATACGTCAGAACAGAATACGGCTGACAAACGCCAGGACAATCAGAAATGTTTATCGTAATTTTCTAGCTTGTATCATGCAAGACAACTGTTTTTAAGTTGGTATGATTACTGGCTAGCCAACCATTCGTTTCAAAATTTGTTCAAAATTTTGAGTGAGTAATAGGTTGGGTAAATGAAAAACAAACAAACTCAAGGGTTGGGTCATGCACATTTATCGTCATTTCCAAAGCTCACTCATGACTCACTCAAATATTGAAGACTGAAAAGCAATGTCAACAGTCATATGTTAATATACAATTTGTAAATCAATCAGAGATTTGTTAGGAGGCAAATGGTGTCTCCAAAGAAAGTACATGTGCAGACAATATGAAACTTTAGACTGCAGAAAATTGCACAAGCTGTTATGAAACTCGTGTCACAGAAATGGTACAGTACAATACAATGCAATGCAATGCAATTTATTTATTTATTTAACGTGAAACAATTACACTTAGCTACACTCGGCTAATTGACAGCCCATATGTGGTCGAATTTACTTTGGGCAGTTTTAAAATATCTTTACCTTTGAGCGAGCATGTACTTTGTCTAAGATCTAGCAAGTCTTTCAGGTAAAGAAAATGTGTGAGAACTGAATGGTATCCTTTTGTAACGCTTTTGGCTAGGGGTGGGTATTCATTTTTTCATTGATATTGGAGGTTGGATACAAAAATGTTTTAATTTTTTAACATTGGGGTCAGCAAAATTTTTGGCAAGAAAAAAAAGTTTCTTCGGTGACCCCCCCCTCCATCCCACGGGTCTCTAAGCCATTCCAAACTTGATGAAAGGGCAACAGGGGGGTTCCCTAAGACATGGTTTGAAAGTCCTCTCGCACATTTTAGGTGAATGGTTACGTGGCGCGTGCCGAAGAGCTGAAACTACATTTAAAACAGAGGTCTGCATCAAAGATTGCACGAGAACCAGGGCATGTTCTAAGTGAGTAAACGTAATGTACGGTAAATGTGTAATTCGTGGACAGTTGAAGGGTTTTGTAGATGGAAATTATCGAGTGGAAATTTATATACATTTATTACACCTAACCAGAAACAGAAGCAAAAAATCCAACTACAGGTCCCTGGCAGGAATTGAACCTGCGATTCCGGTGCAGCACTCTAACCAACTGAGCTATAGAGGCCAGTTGTTGAGCTCTAACCACAAGTTCATGTATCGAGCTATTTCAATTAAGGTTGTCTACGAGCAAAGCGGAAAAGTCAAATACGAGCGCGAAAGGCTGCTGGGAATCGCTAACAAATTAATGAATTTTCAAAGCGATTCCCAGCAGCCTTTCGCGCTCGTATTTGGCTTTTCCGCTTTGCTCGTGGACAACCTTAATTGAAATAGCTGTATATAGGGTACTGTCATGTATAGGTTATGGGTAAATATCAAGATTTTATTGACATCTCACTCGATTGGATATTCATGGATATTTTAAAGGCCATGCCTAAAACTGTCGCATGCAACCTGCTTACAACTTGAGTTCTACTGTGTAAATCAAGTACACAACTCACTTACTCTGTCGTTGTCATAGGTGAGTTGTGTGTTTGATTTACACAGTACAGTACAACTCAAGTTGTAAGCAGGTTCCATGCGACAATGTTAGGAAAAAGTTGTGTAGTGTAAATCTGCCGTAACAGTGCCTCCAATACGACACCAGTTCTGGCCACTTATTTCGACTTGTGTTTTTAAGGAGAATATGCGAAAGGAAATCCACAGCTTGCAGACGGATTGAAATTAGCAGAAATTGCTGAAGTCAGGGTACGGACGTACTGTAGTTTCATAAACTGATTTCTCTATTACATGATTCTAATTGTGTCTGGATGTATGTTTATTACTTGTACAGGATGAAAAAGGTGTATTTTCTTCTGCTCTGGAGCAATATCGAACTGCGTTGGCAGTCCTCATTCCAATATTAAAAGGTATACTGTTGTTTCTCATTTTCTCTAGAGACAATGATATTTAATGATAAGGGCGAGGGCTGAAATCAGGGGGTCCGGGTACATGCCCCTCCAGAAAAAAATTTAAAAATTGAGGCTTGCATAGAAGTGCCATTTCCTGCACTCGACATTCGCACTAATGGTTTTTGATTTTCAAGATATACCCAACACCCAAGTGAAAGAGATTGTAGGATCCGAGGTAATTCGTTGCATTCCCATCACGGTCTTTGCAAAATTGAATTGTCCTAAAAACGATAAACTGAAAAGAACAAGTAATTTTTATTTCCAATCAAAGGTACAGAGGTACATGCGTAGAGCTGAAGAAATCAAGGCGTACCTAAAGGTATATATAAAACATCCTGCTTTATTGAATGGCCAGCTTGTTCCTGTTATACCTGTTTATACCAATGTTTAACCTTTCCTATTTTCTAGTTATCCGAAGAAGGAACATTGGAAATTGGCCAAGAAGTCGATGACAGTACGTTCTTATATGTTTTTATATGCTATTAATAATGACATTGTATACAGCAGCATGTGGTGCAGTGCATCAATACTACTTTACTCTGTCATAGAATATATTTTATGTGGTTCATTGCATAGTACCATAGATGCTCAATTCATAAAAAAAGTTCTCAAGCAAAAAACTTGCCCAATACCGAGAAAATGGGTGATCAGTGATTTGTCCTTTATTAAATTGTATTACAGCAAGAAAATGTGAAATTTTGTATTCAATTACAACAAAAATGACTTGCATCATCAGAAAGCTTACAAAAACCTACATACAAGACTTTTAAACAGTTTTTTATATCTCAAATTGCATTCTCAAACAATTCTTATTGCGACATTTTTGTCACATTTTAAACATCAATAACTCAAAGACTATTTGAAGAATCAAAAAACTGTTTAAAAAGTCTTATATGCGGTTTTTTGTACGTTTTCCGATGATGCAAATGATGTTGATTGTAATTGAATACAAAATTTTCCATTATTTTGCTGTAATACAGTTTAATTAAAAGAGGATAATCGTTGATCACTCATTTTCTCGATATTGCCTATTGGGCAAGTTTTTTGCTTGGGAACTTTTTTGATAGTAATGTACCTATATATGCCTTTCAAATAAACCCCAAACCAAGTACTTCCCATATGGGTGCCACGAAGCGAAATAATTTTGGCCCACGACCTTTGATGAGAGTTGATAGGCCGTTGTTTTGATGGCGTGAGAAGCGACTGCATCTGCGTGGAATGCCCTTTGGTGACTCACGACATGCATGTGATTCGACCACACCCATTATTTACATACCATCATTAATATATCGGAAGCGAGTCTTAATTCCACGATAATTTCCTTTTCTTGTACAAATAAATTACATCTTCATCGAAAGTTAATAGCGAGCTTAAACAGGCTATGATTTTATCAACACAGACGTCAGGTTGCCGAAGGGGAACTGAATTAAAAACTGTATTTTGTATCAGTTTGTGACACAGAAACAATCTTCAACGCATCTGACAGAAAACACAGAAAAAATCTTCAACATATCTGACAAACTATGCAAATTTGGAAAATTTTTCGCTTCTTTGACTTTGCACGAGCGCTACGATGCAATATGCCGCCAATTTTAGTCAAACCAATTTTAATTCTTGCTTAAACTCACCAATGAGAGTTTTAACTCTACGCTTTGAACTGGTTCGAATTTTGACGAGAGTTGATGAGTTTTTTTCAGTCGTTTAACCGGTAAAAACCACTCAACTCTCAGGCAATACTTTTCTTGTTTGACCGGGGCATGGGAGTTGAGAAAACTCTCATGCAAATTCCGCTTCTCGAGCCTTCTCAACTCTCATGCAACTCTTGTTCTCGTTTGACCGGGGCATGAGAGTTGAGAAAACTCTCATGCAAACTCTCAACTCTCATGCAACTCTTGTTCTCGTTTGACCGGGGCACGAGAGTTGAGCATGCAAACTCTCGCTTCTCGACGCGCATCTTCGTTTAAACAGAGCTTAACTTTGCCTTCATGTTTTTTTCTTCCAGAAATGTGCTGCATACAATGATCTAATAGTATACCGATGTATTCCCTCTCGTCGATATAAAACGTCGATTGGATAATCGAAGGCGAGAACGCAAGGAATCGTGCTCATTGTATATAAACCACGGAACCATGCACAGTAAAAATAAAATGAAAATCGAGGTAAAACCAATCGTAATGAAATGATTTAAAATCAAATCTCGTTCAAGACGAAACGACAATGCTTGCGCCAATGACGCTACGAAGAGCATCATTTAAAATTTTTAAAATTTGAAATTCAGATTAAATCATCCAAGGTGAACTATTGTATTCGTCCGATACAAAAATAACGTATTAAACCGTATTAATTTAAATACGGCTTATATCGCCTATGGGCTATAACCTATTCCCAGCCCGCCGTAATTCCAGGTGAATGTTATGCGCAACAAATGAATATTTCATGCGAAAGACATGTCAACCAGAACTTAGCCACGCATGATTGATGATAATCTAATTTCAGCCTCAGATCCATATCAGATTCTCAGAGTAGCTTACTTTCAAAGGCCAAGGACGAAGGCGTATGTACTTAAAGAACCACAAGGTGGCCCTACGCCCACAATGTTATGGTATTCCTTTTGAATTATTCAACAATAGGCCCTTAGCTATGTAATCCAGTCACGATATCCAGCGATTGGAATGCGCTATTGTTTTTATTGCTTTGAAAATCCAAACTGTTGAGTGGTCCACCGTTATCGTAGGCCATCTTCACGACAAGATTAGGCTAAACGCGTTTCCTTCTATAAATACAAACGGACTAGCCCTAATTTGGTTACAAGGTGTAAATTCAAAACAATCGAATAATTGAATCTGCGTGCAACTTCGTGCGCGTTTAGATCTGGTTTGCTTAAGTCGTCAGCATTGCAATATAGCTTTAGACTTTAGTACCTAATTTACTCTTAATCTATTAATGATTCTAAATTATTTTTCTTTAATCGCAAAAAACAACATTGCAACAAATTTCGCATAAAACCGGATAATCTATGGATTTAGTAAAGTGCATTCGCTGTGTTACGTAGATATTTAGCCTTATAGGGTAACGCTTTATGGGTATATTGTATCAAAGCACAATTGCTGCTGACTTACCGTATCACCCTCATGGAGTCGTGCACTCCCACGAGGGAGTTTCAGCTTAATGCTGTATTTAATGCTGGGCTTAACGTAACAGCAGGTTGAAGTTTAGCTTGTGGAATGAAGACCAAATTGAAAGAACAAGGACTTTTTTCAATGTCGTGTATTTGCGATTAAAAGTGTTCGAAATCTAAAATCTTTTTGGCGTTCCTCTTAGAATTACTTTGTTTTAGCTTTATTTCATAGTGTACCCAGTTAGCAACCTTTTTAAATGTATCTGGTGGTTGAGAAACACGAAATAATAGTTAAATATTGTCAATTTAAATTATCATTGATGCTGTAAAATTGACGCCATATTTATACAGCAATACTAAGCGAAACTTACTGAACTTCAGACGTCATTTTCTCTTTGGCGTACCATCTAAAATCTCTTCATTTTAGCATAATTTTACAGATAAAACACTAAAATAGTCATAACCAAATGGTTAGAGATTCTTCTCTTACTAATAAATAAAACCCACAATATCATGCACTATATAGAGTAGATTAAAATATTAGCTTGCTAATTTTATCTTTCGCAATAATAAATCATGCATGCTCAGTCTCCGTAATATGACATAAAAATGTCAAGACGAAAATCTTCTTACGGAAAGCATAATCTGCAGGCTGGAATTTTATCATGTGTTTTATTACTGATCATCATGACAGGAAATAGAGAGTTATTCATCTTCGAGTGAATATCATGAATTCTTTATTTGTACAAATTGTTTTCTTTGCGATATCTCTGAATTGGTTGTCTGGCTTTCAATGGCTCAAAAAAATTAGTAAAAAAAGTTTAGTAAAAAAAGGTCTAGTGCGAATTTTCAACGCGTCGATACTGTGTTTCAGAAAAGGTTGGTTTCGGAAAGTGTGACAAAGAAGCCAGAAAATTAAATTGTATACTATATCTGGTCTATTTATTTCCAAATGCGCACATACAAACGATACTTACATCATTTTTTTTCAAGCCGTTCAACCACCATCTGTTGTGCGACAGCGCTTGGCCAAACCCACTTACTTAAAGAAAAGGCTTTGATAAAAAAATGAAAAGAAAAACAACTTGTCGAGAATCATGGACGGGCGTGAAGTTTTACATGTACATTTATATCGATGCTTAAAATAACACAATAAGTCCCATATGGATATACCGTGAATATTTTCCTGGCTGCGTCAATACTTCCTGCTGAATGTGCAATATTTTAATTCCTTGGGAGTTATTCGCGCTAAATACTGCACGTTCCGCTCACAAGTGTGTCTTAAGCGGTCGAATCCGGGATAGATGACAACTTAAGATGCGTCAAACCACTTAATAAAGCTTTTAGGCATTGAGATCCGCGAAGATGAAACGCCTTTGGAGCATTTTATATTCTGGAAGCAGTGTTACATGTTAATTCTTTGTCACAAAATATGAATAAAGATTATAAGAAGATCTAGCCAGGGTGCGTGTCAGCACAAAACAGTACCACGCAGAATTCTAAACAACTCTCCCGCAGTGGACGCTATTGCGCGCAGCGATCACCGGGCGGTCAAGAAGTTGTCAGACCTTGTTTATTTTTCTTTTTGTTTTTATTGATAGCATCGGAGTATGCATGAAAAACTCGCGGCCTCTCAGAGGGATTAGGTTTCAAGCAGACAGCAGAAATCTCTAGACAAGTAAGGACTTTATATATTGACGATCGCGATAGGAGCACTATGGCCGAAGTGTTGGCGAGGCTCGTTGTCTTGTTCCTATGTCTTTTGAGCCACTTGATGATGAGCGAAGCTTTAAACTGCTACCAAGCTCTAGGGGACTGTAATACCGACGAGAAATGCACAAGCAAACTGAAGCAATACGCTAAAGAGTGTGAGAACATTGTAGACACTTACAATACTATGTCAAATGCGTCCAAGTATCCTTGCTCCGCTTCGTGTGTAAGAGCGATCAAATCGTTGAGACAGACAACGAAAGGGAACGCGCTGTGGAAATGCAACTGCCTCCTGGATGCGCATTGTATTTCGTTGAAAACGCGCACGGAAAAATGTCTTGCGATCGCAAACGGCACGTATCGCAAACGAATTGGCTGTACTTACGCGCATTACAACTGCATGAAAGACACGAAATGTCAGGATGCGCAAATGGATTTCTTGAAAAAATGCGCAAAACTGTTCACGTTGACGGAGTGCACGGAACAGTGCCTATGTAGTCAGAAACGGCTGTTTGGTTTGGCTGTTGGTCGACCGTTACGGAACTGCGAATGCGACGGTTCTGACGAGTTGTACTGCCTCGGCCTTCGCGCGCATGCTGATCAGATGAAATGCAGTTGGAAGAATATCAGGCGCTCCAGGAAAAAGTTGAAGAAAAGATGTAAGCGATGCAAGCAGAGGAGAAGGGGTGACCGATGCGGACGACGCGAAAAGCCGAAAAGGAAAGACTGAGTTTTACTTTATATCGAATTTATTCAACGTATATTCTACACATGGCAAATCTAACTTCGTGCGCAAAAAAAGACTACATCGCTTTCGTAATGGGTAATATGTTCAATTTGTATTTGTACAGTTTTACGTGCCAAATAATTTAACACAACGCCAGCTTTATAGACGTATATGAGCGGTTGATTTGTAAAAGTTCAAGACCTCGACTTATTAAAGCGCTACGAGTTAGATCTGTGTTTTCACAATTGTTCATGTCAAATCATTTAACGCAACATCAACTTCACAGACTCGTTCGGAATGGTTGAATTGTGAGTCTGTAATATAAAACTAATAGACGCTGACGATCATGTACAGATGGATTTTTGGTAAACACGTTTTTAATGTTATAAATTAATGATTAGATCGAACCTCTATTGTCTACATTAAATGGTAAAGACAAACGTATGTCAAAGAAGATTAAAGTGGACCGCCGCATTTTGGATCATTCTCATCTCCCAACATTCTTCATGTTCAGAAAACGACGCGTCAAAGAGCGCGCAAACGGTATCTTCAATATTGGAATGTTTGCCATAGAAAGGCTTGGCTTCGCGTCAAATCACGCCCGTCTTGCTTTTCAAGACGTTGAAATTCATAAAAGTTCCGAACTTAAGAAAATAATAAGGTCACGTCCTTACGAAAACAAACGTCAGGGGAAATTGCTCGAGTGAATTTCATAATGTCCGTTTTTTTTATGCGCGCGAATTATGCAGATTACGAATACTGTTTGTCTTTTAACTTTAACTTTAAACGGTCTAAAGAATGGATGATTTACAAGAACACATATATGCCGGTGAACCACAGGAAATACTAAACTTGATGATATCAGGAGAAAATGTTGATTTAATACAAAAACATATGTCAAAGATTGAGCGAATTTAAAGATGCATGTCATTGTCAATAGGAACTCGTTTTTTATACGTACCGATTTCCTGCGCAAAACGCATGTGTTTGCGCTTGCGTTTACGAACTGTACATTTTAGAGGCGTAGGTGGATTTCAGTAAGGCGCTATCATGTAACAGATGGCGCTCAACCGACAGCTTTCAGAGTGAGAAAATAATGGGAATTATTCCAGTATTTCTAGTGGCCTTGTACACGATCGCAAAAAAATATAATTGAGAGTTTCCTTGTTGCTACGGAGTGGTTTACACAATCAAAGTTTCTGTGATCACAGTATAGGAATTTTGCATAGGTAAATTCTAAGTTTCGAAGGATTTGTAAGAAATGTTTTATAAACAAACTGATTCGGTGTTTATAAACACAAAATCAGTTCTCTCGAACATTTCTTACAAATTCTTCAAAACTTAGAATTTACCTATGCGAAATTTCTATACTGTGATAAAAAAACAGTGAAAACCAACAACATCAGAACTCGACCAACGTCAGCTACATTGTTAAGCTAAGTCTTTGGCGCATTGCCAGTCACGTATTTTCGTATATAGAAGTGAAAAACCATCTAGCAGTCACCACTATAGATTAATAAATACTTGAAAGAAATTAATGCATGCGTCAGCCAAACTTTTCGTTCATGAAATTTGCGCAAGGTTTTTGAATTTGGTTTCAGAAAGCGTTACAAGACAACAGATGGTATGTCAGCTTCTGAAATGGTGGCAAGGATAGCAACAAGAAAATTCAACTACACTTTTCATTTCTATATAAAGTTTGCTTTGCACTATCAATTTTCTGTGATCACTGTAGGAATTTTGCACATTCTATGTTTTGAAGGATCTGTAAGAAATGTTTGAAGGAACTGAATCTTAAAACACTCCCTCAAACATTTCTTACAAATCCTTCAAAACTTAGAATTTACCGACACAAGATTTCTACTGTGATCGCATAAACTTTAATAATAGTATAAACCAGCGTTTAATTCGCCATGACTGGCATGAGATTCAAGATTACCACATATAATGAAACGAATTAGTATTTTTTTCTCACCCTGATAACTGCAAGTTGATTGCCATCTGTGCACGATAGTGCTTAGCAAAACGGAACTGTATACAGACTTGATTTGTCTCAAGAGCTGCGGAATTTACAGTTTATTTTAAGCAACACTTTATCTTAGATAAAGTGATTTCAAAACATTTCTTTGATTATCGTCAGCCACTAATTTCGTTTTGAAACGAGCTAAAATTCCTCAACTTTAATATTTGTATACGACTTCGCAAAATACGACGTAACGCTTTTCTGGCGGCGTGCATTATGCTAATTAGGACGCAATATATAGACCAAACTGTGTATATACCTTTGTAAATAAATTTATATCAACCATAAGCTAGTCTATTTTTGGTCAAGTACGCGATAGAAATCGTACGCGTCATTGTGGTTAAGACTTGATATAAAACCTGGACTGGAATCACGGACGCGTTAGTTTGTGGTTTGGAATTGTGACGCAATGAATTAGATTTATTGATGTATCTCATAATTCGTGCGGAATTTAACACACCATAGACCGATTCGAAAGATAGATTGTCATTCTTTTTTCGCCCGATATTAATTTCAAGCCAGGGTAATCACAGCCGCCTTTAATATAGTCATACTCGGAATACTTCAAAAACTGATCAAAATTGACAGTTTTACAAAATATAAATATAATACCATGTATTCTCGTTGCGAAAACGTCGGTATTTTTAACATCTAATTTCTCAACAAGAACACATGGTATTATATTTATTATTATATCTAGATTTAGCAAAGAAGACTGGCCAGCCTGGTTTGGGTGCTTTTTTCCCATTTCCAAGCCCAAGGGCTGTAATGGACTGATTCTAGCTACAGACGACATTTTGATCAAGACAAGAAGAGCGAAATCCACTACCATAGCTGGAAAGAACATCTTAAAATGAGTAAAATTGCAAAGTTTGGTTGCGAATTGTTGTAAACTGAGGAACGTATAGCCCTGTGAAGTTCGCAAATTTCACTGTACCAGTATATTTTGGCATTACGCGCGGGACAAATAACCATTTTTGAGCCGAAAGTGGTTACTTTTCAAAAATAAATGCAAAATTTGCGAACTTCACACGACTATATTTTCTTCATTTTACAACATTTAGCAACCAATCTTTGCAGTTTTACTCATTCTAAGACGCTCTTTCTAGCTGTGGTGTTGGATTTTGTTCTTCTTGCCTTGATCAAAATTTAGTTTATAGCTGAAATTATTATTATTATTATTATTATTACTCATTTATATAGCGCCATTTCCTGTAGCTCAATGGCGCTTAATATTAAGTGTTAAAAATATATACTATATATAAGTACATGCATAATACTAAGGTTGGTAATACATACATTAACTATACTAAAAGTACTATATGTTCTTTTCATTATGAATATAAAATTACTTTATGCTATAAATGTTGACAATATTAAAACAAAACTATATAAAATACTATAAAATTGGTAAATACTCTTATTAAAATAGTACTTAGTCATAACACTGTTTAAAAAGATGTGTCTTTAATCTAGTTTTAAAAATAGGCAAGGTCTCACTCTTTCTAACATGCTCTGGTAGTTCGTTCCACAGTTTCGGTGCCGCATATGAGAACGATCGTTCACCATAGTTAACCAATTTTACTGAGGGTATTGTGAGCAGTCCCTTGGATGAAGAGCGTAAATTTGCTGATGGTGTGTAAGGTTTTAGCATATTGTTAATGTAATGTAGAGCAGCACCATTCAGGGATTTATATGTAATAAGAACAATTTTATAGATGATGCGTTGACTAAAATCAATGGAATCACCCATTACGTACTATTTCGGACTATTACAATGGAATCACCCATTACGTACTATTTCGCTTGCATGAATTATTTCCAATCTTAAACTCTTATACTATGCCTTAAATAACAGATTCTGTTGAAAAATTGTTTACTAGCCTGGTAATGCATCAAATATAAAATAATGCAAAAGTGTGATAGCTAGTTTTCGAATCGGTCGATTTTGGTCATCAAGATGTTGACATTTGAACACCCAGTGTAGTATAATAGTATTCATCCAATCCTAGGACTGGATAAAAATAAGGAATGACATTTCAAAACCTCAAATTAGGGCTGAACCAGATTTCATTTTAGCTCTAGTAACAAACTGGCCCAGGAAACGAGGTTCGGTTATCGGTAAATAGATAATTCCTGCAGCTATAGACTAAGGGCCTGTTCATATGATCCCGCTTACCGGGACGTCTCGCTTACCGATGATCTCGCCGCCTATCTATTTTCCTATAAAATTTTGCACTGTGTTCATATGAGAAAGCGAGCTGGCCCGCTTGCCGAGATCTCGTTTGAATTTGCCGAGATCATAGGTAGGCGGGATGAAAATTTTTCCATATGAACACGCCAGCCCGCTTACCGGGATGAAGTGAAACAAGTCTTGCCGGTTTAATTTAACACTTTTTACTTGGTTTTATGTTTGTTTTGTAAACAAGTATTAAATAACCACCTGAAGCAATACTTTTTCTTGTAAATAAACGAAGAAAAACACTAAAATCGCCAAGTATTTGTGTTGCTTGACTGAAATGTGGAAGTTTTGCATACGCTAATTATAGAACTACAATGTAATTTCATCTCGGCAAGCGGGACGAAATACTCCATATGAACGCACGGAAATATTCGTCTCGGTAAGCGAGACGTCCCGGTAAGCGGGATCATATGAACAGGCCCTAAATTTTGCTCTAGGCAAGAAGAACAAAATCCATCACCACAGCCATCGTCCATCACAAGAGCACTTGTTAAAATTAGTAAAATTGCAAAGTTTGGTTGCGAAATATAGCCCTACGAAATTTGCAAATTTTGTATTAATTTGTATCACTCGCGGGAAAATGCACCACTTTCTGCCCAAATGTGGTGCATTTTCCCGCGAGTAATACAAATTAATACAAAATTTGCAAATTTTGTAGGGCTATATTTTTCTCAATTTACAACATTTCGCGGCCAAACTTTGCAATTTTAGTAATTTTAACATGTTCTTTCTAGCTGTGGTGATAAATTTTGTTTTTCTTGCCTAGGTCAAAATTTAGTCTATAGCTGAAATTCATATCTATTTACCGATAACCGAACCTCGTTTCCTGGGCTTGTTGTCCTGGGACGCGCTAGAAGAGAAACGGGCCAGATAGTGAACCTTGCTGAACACCACATTTAAATTTGCTTCTAAATGGAATAATCCATTTACTCGTAGCCTATCGAAGGGAAGATGGCTGTGAAACTCATTAGAATAACAATATAACTCATTATCTATGTTGGTCAACGTTTATTCATAAATCTGGTCCTTCACCGTCACGTGTGTATTGTATTTTTGCCCAACTAACCAATAGCTTTGTTTTAGGAAAGTTACCTATCCGTGACTCGAACAATAGGGTAAATTGGAAATTGCTATTGGTGGATTTGGCAAAAATACAATACACACGTGATGGTGACGGACCAGATTTATGAATAAACGTTGATCAACATAGATAATGAGTTTTATTATTTTTGCACAAGTGAACATAACAAATCCTATGTTCCCCGATAATCACCTCGCCTTCGGCGAATAATTGTTAATTATTGTTATTCTAATGCGTTCCCCAGTCATCTTCCCTTCGATAGGCTATGATTTACCGTACACTTTGTTTGACATCCAATGGTGCTATTGTTTATTCACTGTTTTTGGAAATTCTTCCAGTTCCTCAATTGCTCAAGAGACAAGAAAAAACAATAGGCTAAACAATTTTATTCAGAGCCCTTTAAATAAGAACCTGTTTAGGCTAGAATTTCAAAGCAGGTTCTTATTTTATCAAATAGAGTCAAAACTAAAAATTTATACGCCTGGATTCTAAAAGCTCACAATCACACTCAAAGAGTGGAGGTTCGATCTGAGCTTGAGTGTCAGTGCTGTTTTTGAATAGCTGGAGGGTGAGTAGTCACATAGTAAGGTATAGCTACTAATTAACCCTCCAGCTATTCAAAAACAGCATTGACACTCAAGCGAAGCTCAGGGTGAACCTCCACTCTTTAAGTGTGAGCGGTGAGCTTTTAGAATACAGACGTTAGGTTTGGAAATTGGTAACCGCGATGTTTAAAACTGCCATCCAGGTTTTTTTTACGGTCATTGAGAATTGTGTCCTGTGGCTGATAAGCAGTGAAGTAAACTGGTCTGACTTGCAACAGACTGCGTGAAAATTGATAAAATTGCCGAGTGATAAATTGTATGGACGTCAAACAGTAATAGAATGTTTTGATTGCAAATACTGACAAACGCTTCAATGTGACATGCTCTATTTACTTATTTATTATGTTTCCATGCTGTCTGATGCACAATTAAGAACTTCGCATTGTGATTTGTGCCGGAGCTGACATGCGCACACCACGATGCTAGATTTCACTGTTGTGCTAACGTTTTTATTCTGGTTAAACCCGAGCTAAGCTGTTTAACTTGGCGTCGTGGCGCTGAGTTCTTTCCGCCTATTCAAACCAAACTTATGTTTGTTCAAATAGCAAATAATTTCATAGCCTGCGCGCAGAGCTAATAATTTCATATACAGCGTGTGCAAGACTACATAGATTTACAAAATAACTTCCTCAAGCAAGCTGTCGAAAGCTGTCGTGGTTTGTATGTCAACTTCCTGAAAAAAATATCTCAAACGTGATGGTCCTGTTTAGGTATAGGCAGTATTCTACAAAGAAAGACGCGTTTGAGAATCTTTTTCGGATATAGTTCAAACACAAACCACAACAGCTTATTGTAGAATACTACTTACACTGGACCACCACGTTTGAGATATCTTTTTCAGGCAGTTTAGACACAAACCACGATAACTTATTGTAGAATACTACCTGCACTGGACCACCACGTTTGAGATATCTTTTTTTGGTAGTAGTTCAGACACGAACTACGACAGCTTATTGTAGAATACTACCTACACTGGACCACCACGTTTGAGATATCTTTTTCAGGTAATTCAGACACAAACCATGGCAGCTTATTGTAGAATGCTACCTACATTGGACCACCACGTTTGAGATATTTTTTTCAGGTAGTTCAGACACAAACCACGACAGTTTATTGTACATTATCTATAAAATATCTGCTCTATATCTATCCAAAAACACACTTGTGTATCAACTGTCATGCCTATTGAAGTCTGCTCCTACAGGTGAAATGAATCAAAATAGCTGCTGTTAATCCTCGTCTGAGTCCTCTACTGAGCTGTCGCCAGTTCCTACTGAGTCGCAATTTTCAGTTACCATGAATACAGGAGAATATATTTTTGTTACGAGAGCATGTTTTGACAACCTTGAGGAAACAGCGGTGACAATTATCAATAATGTCGACACCCCAGCCATCACTCTTAGCGATGTTCAGCAGGAAACGTTTACGTCAACATTTTGTTTCAAGATTTTTGTTTGTTCATAAGAGAATCTACTGAAATGTTGCTAAGCGACATGCGGGCGACGCCCAAAATATTGGAGCCTCTTCCCAGGCCACAATTCGTGTGCGTGGAGTCACGTAATGTAATGCGTTTCCTCGCGTGTGGGTACGAGGGTTTCGTTGTTGCTCTTTGTAAACCAGAATTTTTTTAT